TGGAAAAGCATTCGGTTTCGCAAAAAAGGCTTTAGACTTAACACAAAAATTAGATTGTTATAATGAGTTAAATGGATTACTTCAAACATATATTGAAGAAAAACAACAAGAATTACTTTGTAATCAAACAACTGATGAAAATACTGCAGGAAATCAACAAGAAAATATTAAATATTTTAATCCAGTAACTTCAAGACATCATGAATGACCTTCAGGTCGATACTTAAGTGAAGAAGAAACTTTAAGACAGAATAAGAAATAAAAGAAAACTAAAGGCAACTTAGAAGTTAATGGAAATGATAAGAAGGAAAGAAAGTGTAAAGGATGTAGGAGTACAGGTCATAATTTGCGTAATTGTAAAAAAAGAATCCTTAGCAAGAAAAATTGATGAATTATAGTTGAAACTAAAGTAAAAGGATTCTTAGTGAGAGTAATTAAGGAATTTATAATTGAAATTGCATTGTAAAACTGTATTTATTTCAAAACATTGCAACTACGCCTTGATCACGTGATTTATTATATGGTGGTGAAATCACCACCGGTGATAATTAGAAATTTTTATATTTAAACTAGAATTTAAGTACAATATAAATGTATTTTTTATATATTTAAATATGCTTAAATTAAAATTTAAATACAATATAAGTGTATTTTTTATACACTTAAAATATATTAAATTGAATTTTAAGTACATTTTAAGTACATTTTAAACATATAAAAAATATGCTTATATTGTACTTAAATTCTAGTTTAAGTATTTTTTTAAGTAAGTACATTAAAAATATATTTTAAGAGTATTTTAGGCATATTTTAGGCATATTATAAGTAAATCACAAATTAAAATTGATACTTATTTTAAGTATATTTTAATAAAATTTTAAATATATTTTAATAAAATTTTAAATATATTTTAATAAAATTTTAAATATATTTTAATAAAATTTTAAATATATTTTAAATATAAAAACTTTTTATAGGAAATATATTAATAAATATTGATTTGATATTAACCATGACAAAATTTTAAAATTTTTGTTAAAAAAAACTTTTAGTAAAATGAAAAAAATTAAAAAATCAAAATTTTACATTTTTCTCAAAAATTATCTGAAAAATAGCCTTTTTGACCTTAAATAAATCTCTTTTTCTTATAAATTTACATATAAAATAAATGTGTAGTTGATTATTTAATTTAATATTAATCTTATAAAATTCAAAAAATTGCACTAGTAAAAATTATCAATGATGACAATTACTATTGATGACAGTTTAACATTCTTAATAATATAAGTTATATAACTGATAAGTGTTTATATAAAAAGTAAGATCTAATTATAATTTAAAATAATTTCTCAATTAAATTAGAGAATAAATAAATAAAATCCTATTATACAATTTTTGGTAAAAATAATAATAGTAAAAATATTATTTATTATTTTAAATATAAAATTAAAGGAAAATTTATATCCCATCCCTTGTGATTTCTTTAAACATCACTTTATAAATGCAAAACCAATAAATATCACCTTATAAAAAAAAATATATTCTGGTGATGCAATAAAATATTACTTTATTAAAATTATATATATTATTAAAGATTTTATTATACAAGATAATTAATTGCTTACACATTTTTAAATTTGTTATTTTTATAATATGCTGCATTATAACCAGCCTGACTGTATATATGACATTTATAAGTATTTCAGCTTAAAGATCTACCATTTGCATTATAATACTTTTAAACTATTTTGTTGGAGGCTGATTTTTTGTTTTTATTCTTAATAGATTTTAAATGTTTTTAAGTTTATAAAGTCTATATTCTTCATTAATTAGTGTATTATTATCTGATTGCTCTTCTTAAATGTTACCATTATTATTTACCAAATTTAATCCTCTTTGTCTTTCTCTTATTAATATATTCTTTTAATAGAACTTCCATTTTATTATCATTAGATTCCAAAATAAGTAAACTTAACTTCATGAACCATTTCCCATAACCTATCATATTTTGTTTTTTATCAATAGTTTTTTTTAAAATTGAAACACATTTTAGAATAGTGATTTCTTTGCATAATAGAAGTCATAAGAATATTATCTGAATCAGTATTATTAGTAATTCCTTTTTCATATGCAAATACTAAATCATTTTCTTGAAATAAGTCCATTCCTTGATAAGCATCTTGATAGTATCTTAATAACATCTTTCTGGAATCATTGAAATATGAAAATCTGCAATTTTTGAAAATATTATTATATGAAAATAATGATAACAAATGACCCCCTTTGAAATTGTAATTAAACATGAACATAAAAAAGAGATTTCATTAGAAATTGCAATATAATGAAAAAAACTGGAGTTCCGAATGGGTCAGATCAGGTCAGGTCAGGTTATATCAGGTTATCTGTTTGACCTGACCTGAACTGAAACCTGAAAATTTTCAGGATTTTTATTAAAATATCAATAAAATGTTATAAAACATTTTTTTTGAAAATATTGCGATTTACTTTTTCATATTAAAATCATATAAAAAGGTGAATCGCAATACCGCAACTAACTTTTTTTATATATAAAATCAATATAAAAAGTGAATCCCGATACCGCAATTCACTTTTTATATATAAAATCAATATAAAAAAGTGAATCCCAATACCGCAACTCACTTTTATTATATAAAATCAATATAAAAAAGTGAATCCTAATATCGCAACTCACTTTTATTATATAAAATCAATATAAAAAAGTGAATCCTAATATCGCAACTCACTTTTATTATATAAAATCAATATAAAAAAGTGAATCCTAATATCGCAACTCACTTTTATTATATAAAATCAATATAAAAAGTGAATTATAATACCATCACTTATATTATATAAAATCATATTTTCAGGTCAACAGGTCATTCAGGTTATATTGATGTTACAACCTGAACTGATGCTGAATTGCAATTGCTAAACCTGACCTGATAAATTCAGGTCAACCTGTCAGGTTACCTGAATTTGGTCAACCTGTTCAGAACTCTAAAAAAACATTTCTTTTCAGATCGGATATTACAAAATTTTCAGATCTCTTTAATATTCTTTTTACCAATCTCATCAATAATTGATTGTAATTTAATCATCTACACATTATAATTATTTTTCAATAAACCTGTCATTAAAGTTCCAAACAGGTTAACCAAATTCAGATAACCTGACAGGTTGACCTGAATTTATCAGGTCAGGTTTAGCAATTGCAATTCAGCATCAGTTCAGGTTGTAACATCAATATAACCTGAATGACCTGTTGACCTGAAACTATAATTTTATATAATATAAGTGGGTTATTTATAATTCACTTTTTATATTAATTTTATATAATAAAAGTGAATTGCGATATTGGGATTCACTTTTTTATATTGATTTTATATATAAAAAGTGAATTGTGATATCAGAATTCACTTTTTTATATTTATTTTATACAAAAAAAGTTAGTTGCGGTATTGCAATTTACCTTTTTATACGATTTTAATATAAAAAAGTGAATCATAATATTTCAAAAAAAAAAATGTTTTGCAACATTTTTTTTTTGATATTTTAATAAAAATCCTGAAAAAAAATTTCAGGTCAGGTTTATCAATTAACCTAACCTGACCTGACCTATTTGGAACTCTACCTGTCATGTTCTTTCATTTTCTAAAAAAAAAAAAGAAATATGATTAATGCATTATGAATTATAATAAATAAAACCTTATTTCTTATCATAATTCAAACTCTAACTCTAACTCTAATCCTAACCCTAATTCTAATTTTAACCTTAACCCAAATCCTATCTAATCCTAATCCTAACCCGTAACTCTGACTTTTTTCCGGGCACTGTAGTTGGATATGACCTCAACTACAGTATAATTATCCGGGGTAGTTAAATATAGAGATCACATCCTGTGATATTGCTACAAATCACCGGAGGTGATTTTATTAATATTACATAATTTTAATAATATACAATTTATGTTATGTTTCCTTTTTTACTATATATTTTAATAAGAATTTGAATTTTTTCTGTATAAATTTCAAGTTTATTTATTTGTATTATTAATATGTAAATAGATATCATCGCTATTTTTTGTTTTCAAAAAAAGTTACTGTTACTTTTTGAAAGACTAAATAAAGTTGTGTTTGTTAAAGAAAATAAATGGAAAATTTTATATATGAAGTGACATTTATAAATGTTACACAAACTTATCAATAAAATCGTAGTTCGTCGAGCATCCTTATCCTGGGCCACGGTCCAGATGCTTATCCTGGACCAGCAAATATAATTGGATGAGATTGTTTTGTGTAACATTTGTCTTGGAAAAAAAAACAATTCGCGTTTTTTTTTAAAAAAAAGGTACGAAATGCCTTTTTTTAAAGCATTTAATACTACCATTTTAAAGTAATATGTTATTTAAAATTTGTACTTTGGTATGCATTTTATTAAACTTTATTAATAAATAAGTAAAATTGCATATATAACTTTATAAAAAAGGTCTTTACATTATTTTTTACTGTAATTTTATTATTAAAATTATTTTAACGTTAATATCAAAACAAAAGTACAAAGTAATAGTATTATATTAGCTTTAAAAGTTTTGTTATAAATGTGTAATTTACAACCTTTTTTGAACAACTTTGCTTAACCCCAAAACTTAAAAAAAAAACACTTGATTTCCAGAATAATATCAATATATCATAAAACTCTTCAAAAAGAAAATAAAAAACATTTAGTATTATCATAAAACTACAATAAATACAATTAAAATTAAAATATACAAACTGAAATGAAATATGAAATACTAAGTACTAACATACCACAAAAAAGAATAGAGAAAGAGTGAAAGATAGGAAGAGTAAGAGATAAAATAAATTATGCCGGAGTTATGTAATAAAAGGGCTGATTAGCCAATCAAAAGTTGACTGGTCCAGAATAAGCATCTGGACCGGTGGATCAGGTTAAGGATGGCCTAGTTCGTCACTCGTCAATGAAACACGAACGACAATTTATAGTTCGCGTTTTTCTTGAAATTCAAATATGCTGGAATGGAATGGCCTTTTATAAAAGAATTAAACGAACTTTTGCGGTTTTGGAAAACCGATAGAGAATTTAAAGACGAATTAATTAATCATGACATTACTTATGCAACACGTACTGTTAATATTGTTAATAAGATCGATAGACTCATAGAGTTATTGGATGTGTTACATGAGGTAACTTATATTTTTATCCGCCTTTTTGAATTTTACTAATTATATATATTCGTTAGCAACTTCTTGAATGCGATACAGCTGAAAAATGTAATACTAAATTTCCTGAAGTTCAAAATATACTTGAAGAATTAGTGGTAAATTATTTAATTACTGTATTCTCATATTTCCTTATTCCGGTATTGACTTTGTTTTTAGTGTATTAGAATTTTAGCGCTGCACGAAACAGTATGTCAAAAAATTATAGAATGTATCTTGGAATATACAAAATTATCCGACGGAACAATCATGTTTTCAAATTTTATTGGGTAAGAAAGTGTGAAAATTTTTCGTATATGGATTACTTGTTATAACCTTTTGTATTTATGATAAGACTACCAAAGTATTGGAGTTTAAAAGTATTGCGAGCTATCTCCATCGGCCATTCACAAGGCGATAACCTTTCAGAGAAGTTGGCATCTTTATGCGGCGCAGGGTCTTCTGATTTAGATCAATTGTACGTCGAAGAAGCCGTTTCAATGATCACCGATTTTTTAGATAATGTTGAAAAGAATATGTTACAACTCCCGGTATGATTAGAATTTATATCTTCTTATGATTGAACCGAAATCTGAATATAATTATTTATAGTCAACATGTATAGAAAATATTTCCGAACAATTAATTCCATTATTACAAGTTCCTGAAATGTTTGGACTAATTGAACGCGTAATTTTGTTCGCGACTAAAGGCAAATTGCATCATACAATGAATTCTGAATATGGAAACGCTTTATCAAACCTTTTTGTGGAACATTTAGTCTTTTTTCATCATGACATGTATATTAAACTTTGTGGTGATGCTATGCTTGGGTAACGGTTTTAATTTTATTGTATGTAAAGAAAAAACTTGTATTTGTAAATATTTATCCGGTATTCAATATAGTTTATGGACCAATTGCTCTGCTGCTGTTGAACATGAGGTAATTAATCCTTTTTTTTTTTTTTTTTTTTTTTTTTTTTTTTTGATTCTTTTATGATACGATTATAATTTTTATTTTATAAAAGGTCTTGGTGTCTTTTCAACAACTTCTTTTTCCAGTAGATAAAAATTATATGGCACCACGTAATATTATAGAGTTTCTTCGAAATAGACCATTTTTTTGTCAAGCTATAAACTATCCAAAAATTTTTAACTTGTGCTTTGAAACATTTATTAAGTGTTTGGAAAATTTTCCTGATTGGCGTGTCTTGCGTTTAATAAAATATACCATAGAATATTGTATTGAAAGTAAGGATTGTAGTAAATTTATTCTTCCAGATATTACTCACGTATGTATAAATTTCTGTCCGAATTTATTACGCGTGAAATTCGCATACTAAATAATTTTGAAGTATTTTCCTAGATTATTGGAAGGTCTTGTGACAATTCTTGCAAATGATATTCCTGGAGTACAAACAATTTCTAAAATAAATTTCCTTCGTTATAAATTACTTCTGGAACAAAGCCCTTCGGCTATGAAAAATTATAGAAAACATGTATGGATGACTTTGATGTCATTCACAAAATGGCATTATTGGATTATCAAATCATTTTTCGACATCCAAAAATTTCCGCAAATAAAAGATGTAAGTTTATATGTACTGTATTAGAAAAAATATTATTTATAATCATTAATAAATTTATTGGTTTAAAGTTACAAGAACCTATTAATTATCTAGCGTGGTTAATTTATCCACGTGAAGACAGTAGAATTATAATTATTAGTAATTCTATAGGTGATATGATTACATCCATCAGAGGTAAGACTTAATATTTTTTTAAACTTGTTATAATAAATTAACTAATTTGTATTAAAATTTGAATTAGAATGTTTGAGTTTGAGTTTACAACAAAATAGAAAAGAAAAAATACTTTTATGCTTTAATCGCTATCAGTGTATATTTGAGAACAATCTTCTATTGGTAGATATCATATTGGGTTTATGGTCTAAAATAAAATCACTAGAATTCATGGAAGAAATGGTAAGTATATAAATATAAATATTCAACTTTCTATTGACTAAATAAGCTTTCAATAATTTTTACTTGTATTTTCATTTTTTAAAAATCAGCTAAACGTTTGTATTATGCCTAATAATAAACTCTCGTCTTCACAACCTTCTATGTCAAGGTTTGGATAATCTTTTTTTTTTCAAATCAAATGTATGATTACTATATTTAAATTATTTTTGCTTTACTTTTTTTTAAGGCAAATTCACATAAATGAAAATATAAACTTGGCAGCTTTAACGAAAATCTTCGATTACTTTTATGAAAATCAATATGGAAAAAATGATGAAATTATAAATTATTTAAATAGGTTAAAAGAAAGATATATGATGTAATATTATAATAAAATTATATCTGATATCACGTTATCAATTTTTGCTTTATAGTGTCATATTAAAAGATTTTTTATTGATAAGTTAATTCTTTCGAAATCGTGTTTCCGAATTTGCTAAGAAATGTCAAAATTACTAAATTTTATAGCGACAATTTCAAGAAAAAAAAATAATTAAAAAAAATTAAGAAATTAAAAACAAACTATTATACTATATAATTAATTAAGCGAAAATATCATCTTCCACTTCGTCATCCACTTCTTCATTCCCTAATTTCATTTTCTCAGATCCATAATCTTTAGTTTCACTAGATTTTGTCGGTTCTATTTCTGAAATCCCCCGTGATCCGTTAATTGATGATGTTGGTGAACCGTCTTTTTTAATATTATCGCTATGATTATTATCTTCCTCTTCATCATTGTCCCATTTTGTTTTTACTCCTAAAATACCACCTATATTTAGTTTACTTGATGCTTCACTATCAATATCCATATTCATTGGCACTCCATCAAGAAGATTATTTGCGTTGCCATCAATTGATGATGTAGATGATGTTGATGATTGTGGTATTGAAGAATATGTAAGACTGTCACCTTCTTTTGTATTCTTCATGAATGTATTTGTTAATGATTCAATATATGGTTGTGGAAAAACGATCCAATTTTCCCATACGGTGAGAATAGTTGTAACTTGACGCTAGATTAATTTTTGTTTGTTTCATGATGTGGTTTTTATAAGAAATTTGAAGATTAAAAGTTTCACGAAAAAGAGGTGAGTATAATCCACAAATAAATTCGAGACTTGGTTTTGAAAAAATATACGAAGGTGAAAAAAATCCTTCCTTTTGGATAAGGAATAACAATCAATGTAAATCTCAAACCGTTTTGGTCGCTTACCCTAAATGTCTCTGCTTTCAGCCTAGCCGTGATAGATCTGTATACCTCATTCAAATGTTCAAACACTTCAGGTAATTTACTCTCGAATCTATTAAGGAATATGTACCAAGAAAAGTTTAAGACATCTATGATAATAAATGTATATATATATAAGCATGCAACTTACCCAGTTCGGAATTTCCAAGCATTTGGAACAGAAACGCTACTATTGTGTAAAACATCTGACACTAGATATAATCGTGCAACTTTAGTAGGGATGGGAGTTTCTTTGATCATAAGAGTCTTGCATATAATTTCAACAATCTGAATAAATAAAGCATTAAAATAATGACGATGTTTTATAAAACAAAATTTTAATTAATTAATTTGCAAAGCACCTCATCTGCGGCATCAGAATGATCAATAGCAAAAGCCATTGTCTTAGCAATGACACCACGTTCAAAGGTCAATTTTCGGAGCATCACTTCCAAGCGGTGTTTAGCTTTAGGCCCCAAAGTTCCTTTAGGTATGCGTTCTCGCTCACGTTCGTCTTCTTCATCAGAATCTAATAATTCATCTGCTGCCTGTTGCCCAAAAAGAATAAGTAAGACAAACTAAAGAAAACTTAAAGCTGCTGATGGTATATTATAATACCAACGTCTTCATCGAACGGTATCTCGGGAGGTACCCAAATAGGTCCTTCGTCAAACATGTGAAAAGGTTCAGTGCGCCACTTATTCTTGGGGTCTCCTTGAAGTATAGAGTATAATCTCCATCGATAGTACACGTGTTCAAGTGACTAAGCACCAAAATATATTAGTAAATAATATACATATTTAATTATAATTACTATTATACTCACGTCGTTTTGAAATAAAAATGAAAATTTAGGATTATTCCATTCTCGATCCATGATGATTGCCTACATTCATATGATAAGTGGCGAATCAGTAAAATTCTTACGAATAATTAATTTCAATTAATTATACCTCAAATGGTGGTCCAAATTTTACAACTCGTTCTACCATACGATGTATTATTTTAACGATCTGGACATTTTCCGGACGAGACACATGAACTTCGAGGCGAGGACCCTTTGGTGCAACCTAAAAACGATTAAAGTGAGTACATACATCATTTCTATTTATATAGTGAATAAAAAATTTTAACTCACTGTACTCACTGTGGATGTACCTGGCGGCGGTACATTTGTATATGCTATATAGACCGAAACAAATTAGTAAATAAATTGAAGCAATTGATAGCATTTGATAAACTCACCTTTTGTGTGAACCATTTGAGCGTTAAAAGGTAATCCGCTTGGCGGAGGACGGACTCCTTCGTTTAGCACTAATAAAATTAATTTTAGCACCAGATAACTTTATTATATGGATGAATACTTTTTGATGCTAGAACACACCGTAAATAGGTTTCGGTGGAATAGGGACTGCTTTGCCCCAACCAACACGCATAACATATCCGAGCAATTCTTTGCCATCCATATTTTTTAAAGCCTGAGCCGCACATTCCCTATCCATAAAACTGACAAATCCGCAGTTTCGGTTTCTATCCTTCTCTTCTTGAGTACGGGGCCACATAATTTTCACACTAGCTATTGGGCCATATTTTGCAAACTCTTTACATAACATTTCTTCATTAACCTATTCACAAATTATTAAATAATTAATTATTCTGTTTATTTCTGATATAAACTATTGATTGGATATGAAGTACAAGTATGCCTCGTCCAATAAGTGGATTATTATATCCAAGTTAAGATATTTTTTTGGTAAATATCGTCCGTCAAAACCGAGTTATCGTAATAGGCTTCATAATATCAACTAACCTCTGGACTTATATTTCCAACATATAAATTTGTTGTATTCGGATCTCCAGTATCATGTGAGCCCGGTCTATCTTCAAAAGCTAAAAAAACCAGGAAAGTACATTAATAAATTAATGAAACAATTATTAAAATTTGATCTTGCATATATTTAATTGTGGTGAGCCTAAACTCACCGGCTTTAACAGTGAGCGAGGTAGGAACAAAGTCGTCACTACCTGCCTCTAAATTAAACCAGTAAGTTATGTTTCTAGCATACAAATCCTTTTGCGTATTAAAATGTAATAATGTTAAAAATATTACCAGATGATACGCCAGCGCCAGCCAACTTTGCATGTTTTTGCCTTAAACGATCTTCTCTTTCCTCTTGTTCACTATAAAAATGTAGTATTAGTGATTAAATTCAATAATTTAGTACGTAAGACGTTTTACCGACCGCTTAATTTCTTCCAAGAAAGCATCTAAATTACGTTTTCTTTTAGATTTATCGTCCTTTTTTTCTTCATCCTAAATATTATAAATATGAATCAATTTATAAATGAATCAATTTATTAAATACACTATATATAATTCATATTGAGAAATATCTTACCTCGTTCTTTTCGATTTTTTCCGCAGAATCTTCCGGTTTTGATTCTGGTTGTATAGGTTTTGAGACAGAAACAAAAGCTTGTGGTTTATAAAGTTTAGGTGCTGATGTGGTTATAGTTGGCTCCTTTTTTGCATTGATTGCTTCATGATCAAATAATACTTTGAAAACAAATGAAACAACATTAGACTTTTTATTTTATTTATACAAAATAACAAAAATAATTAAATGCTTACATTTCGGTACTATTGTTTCGCCTTTAACAAATGTCTTTCCTGCGCCTTCTTCCTTTTCAAAAGAAGCAACAAATTCCGCATATACTTTTGCGGCTTCTTCGGATTCTTGCTAATAAGGTGAAAAAAAAAATAGACTTCAGAAATACAATATACAATATTCTATTATTACTACCTGTAAAAATAATACCTTTTTCTTTAATTCGAGTTCTTCTTTATGTTTTTGAAATGGAGTTTTTTTATGAGTGCCAATGCTAAAAGCTTGTAATTTTGTTTTTGTTAAAGTCTGAAATTTCGGGAAATGAAAGATCAGAAATAGTTGAACTATATAAATTCATCATTACGGACTTATATTATACCTTAGCGGAACCTGGTTTTGTCGCATTGATTCCCCAAGGGAGCTTCTTTTCATCGGGCATTTTTGTAATTGATACTAAAAATATGATATTCTTGACAAATTTATAGTTCTATTAGGTGATACAAACACATTTTTGTTATCACCACGTGATTTTCTTTTTATAGTTTTTTCTCTGACTGTTTTGCCCTTGATTCAAAATGTCTGATTCAGATCCAGACGATTATATGTCATCAAAATTTCTGACCGAACCACCACCTGAACCTTCACACTCTCTAACCTATGCAGAACGGCGTCGCCGGAAACAATTATTAAATAAAAGTTATAATAAACCTCGTCGTGAACTTGAGAACGATTATCGTGAGCAAGCTCTCGCTAAACGAATTGATACCGAAGAAAATGAATCTCCGGGATTGAAATTACTAAAAAAGATGGGTTACGAACAGGGTAAAGGTTTAGGCAATAGCGGAAGGACGGAACCCATAAAGTTCGAACTGAAACAAGGTAAATCAAATTGTTATTTTTAACGCACTTATATTCAATTTATTAAGAAAAAATTTATTTTGTTAGACAAACTCGGTCTAGGTATGGCCACTGAAATAAAACATAAGGCTCAAGCTGAACTTGCCAAAGTTGCAAAACGGGCAAAATTTGAAGAAGATTCGTTTCGTGAACGTGTTCGTCAAGAAAATCTCGAGAAACGCGTCGAAGGACAGCTCAGGAAGCTGCAAAATATATGTGAGACATTGGACACTAAACATGTATGATTGTTTATTATGATTTTTGTTAATTATCTAATTATATAAGTAATAAATTGGTTTCTTGTTTATAACAGGGAATTGAGGTATGAGGTATGAACGGATAATCATACGGGTTGCCGCATCACTAATTAATCACATTCTTTCCAAACAAAGGATAATATTTATTGGCAACATGAGGAGACAGCGGATAATGAGATAAAAAATAACAATAATGATGAAATATTATTTGAAGAACAAGTAGTAGAAGACGATGAAGGTGAAAAAGTGCAATTTCAAAAAGAGAGACAAGAATTTGAAGATCTTAAAGTATGAAATAATTAGGATTTAATATATTGTTCTATTTTAATATACTTTATATAATACTGAATTTTACAATTTTATGACTAAAGCCTTCAGAAAAATTAGATCGTATTTTTAGATATTTGCGTGAAACGTATTATTATTGCTTTTGGTGTGGATGTGAATATGGTAGTGCTGAAGAAATTGATCAGGAATGCCCCGGTTATGAAGAGGAAGATCATGATTAGAAACGGATCCCTATTTAAAAATCCAATGAATCAACTATTTAATTTAGGTTAAAAAAAAAAGAAGATATGTGTAAACATAGCTCGACATACTTATATCTTTGCTTACATAATTGAAGAAGGTAAATTACATTTTTTTTGAATTATTAAATGATTGAAAGGATAATTCTTCTTAGAATTTCAACAATTTTTTCTTTGATTAACTAATATAATTATAAATTTCAACCTGACTTTATTCATTTTCTGCATCACCTTTACCAAAATAATTATCAATTGTCATAGCTGTAGCAATTTGAATATTATCACCAAATTCAATGATTTTGTCAAGTGGTTCAACGATTATCACTAAAGTTTTTCTAAAAATATTAAATCCTTGATATGTAATATTACTCTGTTTTACTCCATCTTCAACATTTGTCAGAGAGGTATGGTTTCCTCTTGAAGAGTTTTTAATTTCGGCATGTTCTGTTTGTGATTGTGATGAAGACACATTTGGATTTGAAGGAGAAAATATAATAGGGTTGTCCTATTTAAAATGGGTATCGATTGATATCAATAAAGTACATAAAGCATTATAAATATAAAAAGAAATAAATGTATTAATACCTTTATTAATATTGAATGTTTTACGTCAGTAGGTCTAAAATAATAAGCGAATTGAAAATTTGCTGTGAATTTTTTTCAAAATTAATTATAAAATTAAAAAATTAATCATCAAATTCAGTATATTCAGTATGCCAAATCTTTAGTAAATACTTACAACCACGATAAATATCTGAAAGAGATTTATCACTAGCATTTTTCTTTTTTCCCAAAAATTTCTTAGGAATTATTCGTTGCAAAGCTGATAGTATTTCCTATAAATATATTATTTTAATTAACACGTTTAATGTAAACTTAAAGTGCGTTTAAAAACATACCTGGAATATTATATCGTTAAACCATGAAAGATTTTCTTGACGGAGATAAATAATTAAAGGTAATACTTGTTTTTCTGAAATTCGTAAATAACGAATGTTATATGTAGAATATATGGAAGACATTTTTAAAGCAAATCATTTACGTGTAATTAGCGTAGGAATAAAAATTTTTTTGTGTAACCATAATGCGTAAATTGATTACGAACCGCACGCAGGATGTGATATAAAATTTGTAGGAAGTTTTGTTCCTTGTAATTCGGACTACAATGAATCCTGTTACTTTATATAATAATGATATTTTCACTAATGTGCCGGTTGAAGCTCCAGTAGAACGAAATTTTTACCCATATGCAGACAATGGCGGGTAATGGTTACTGCTTTTTTTAACGACACTACGTAATTTAAATAGCAGCGCTTTTATAAATTAAATTACTGACGAATTTAATACAAATAGTACTTCGTTAGGCATTGCTGGTGCTGATTTCTGTTTAATGGCTTCCGATACTCGCAAAAGCTCTGGATATTCTATACATTCGCGTTATTCACCCAAAGCTTTCAAATTGTATTTATAGTAATTGTATTTACTTTTAACTATACATTTTCATTTATGATTTTGATCTTTCTTATCAATTAGAACCGAAAAAGCGGTGTTAGCTACAAATGGATTCGCTGCCGATGGACTCGCATTGACTAAGAGACTGGGACAAAAACTGGAGGTAAAATAAAAAATTGAGTTTCTTTGTTTTTCAATAAATTATAATTATAATTATGATTAACTGATTAACTTTTTGTTAGTGGTATAAACACGCCCACGATAAAGAAATGTCAACACCAGCATTGGCTCAGATGCTGGCTAATACCTTGTATTATAAACGTTTTTTTCCGTATTATACTTTCAATTTGCTAGGAGGAATTGATGAACAAGGTATAATTTTATTGGAATATAAATTTATTTTATAGTTGTTTATTGACTTCTTTTACAACGCTATTAATCCATAGGTAGAGGCGTGTTATATAGTTTTGATCCCGTGGGATCTATGGGTACTGAAGTTTGTAGGGCTGGTGGCAGTTCTGCTGCTTTGATACAGCCATTTTTAGACAACCAGGCAAGAATTTTACAACTAATTATTCTAGGCTAAAACTGTAAGTTATTAACTTATTATCTTATATATTAGGTTGCATTAAAAAATCAACAAGGTGTTCAGCAAACTCCCTTGTCTTTGGAAGCGGCAATTCGTATTACGAAGGATTCATTCACTTCAGCAACAGAAAGGGATATTTATACTGGCGATTATCTTGAAATTTTTATTATTAGACAAGAAGGCACTACAATTGAAAGGATTGATTTGAAAAAAGACTAAAAAATCCTAGAACTTATTTTATGGAAAATTTTCTTAATATGTTTGATTAAAAATTATATTATTAAAAACTTATTTTGTTAAAAATATTTCGAGTTCTTATTAATGAAATATTGTATTGTTATAGCTATTCCTAACAATTGGACACAATCATGTAGCGTGTCAATTAGGAACAATAATACGGGTAAGTTATAAGAAACGTATCGTGTAAACGATAAAGCACTCACAACTATCAAGAGAATATCGATGAGATGAGATGATTATATTTTGAGAATCAATAATTTTAAATTTACTTACCAAACCATAAAAATAAATTTATAATAATTGCAGTCGAATAATTTTCAATTTTATAAACATATTGTATTTCATGAACAATTAAAGTCAGAATAATTGTAGCAATGATACTCGCCTTATAAAAAAGTATAGTTTAAGTTAGATATATTGTACAAGCAGATATGAAAAATATAATAAATACCAATGGTCCAGTTTGTGGTTCATCATATGCTAAAGATTCTCTTCTTTCCGGTGTTAAAAATAAGGTATTACGAAGTTGCATTTGAAGTCTACCAAAGATATTGTAAGCATAGTAACACGTGGTAATGACTATTTAAGGAAATAATATTTTTTAACATAGAAGATTAGAAAATTTGACTAACATTTTAACAGTTATTACCTTGAGAAACTATTACTGCAGTAACGATAGTAAAAAAGTCAGGAAATACAAAAATAAAATTACTTAATTCCATGGTTAAACATCATCAAAAGAGTGAATGAGGGTTATTATATTTAATTGAAATCAAGGATCGCTGCGTAAATCATTTTTATTATTTTCACAAGAAATATTAAATATTCCAAAATTAGAAAATTGATATTTAGTCAATCTAACCTATTAAGATTAAAAAGCCCCAAAAAATTTTCGTTCCATTTGAAGATAAAACAATCCAACGACAAAAAAATCAAGTATAAATACTCTTATAGTAATTTATTTACTAACGCCCCCACCTAGATTCGAACTAGGAACCTTTCGGTGTCAGTAGGATAACAGCCGAACGCGCTAGCCGGTTGCGCCATGGAGGCATTCATGACGTGATGCACGATTAACCTTTTTTTAATTTATCATTTTACAGCTGATTTCATAAATTTCATAAATTTCATAATATACAACTCTGTACATTCGGGTAAAACTCGGTAAAGTTCAGAATAAGGCGAGCACAGTGTGGTGTAGTTTTTATTTTATTCCGAGTTATACCGAATCTTACCGAGTTTCTTTCGGCATGAAGTAAAAATGATGGGGTATAACTTATAAGTGATGTAATAATGTTTAGATTTTAAACATTTCTATCCATTGGATTAAAGAAATTTTCCGAGTGAGAAGATATAACAATACTAAATTCAAAAAACAATCATCCCGTCTTATTATTGCCAATTACGGGATTTCCATTCCATAATAACTTTACTATAACACCAATATCAACAATTTAAGCATTATTTTAAATTTTAATAAATAGTTTTCAATTGAAAAGTAAAAAAATTTTTGTGCTTAAGATAATGAAGTAAATAAATTGCAAACTTTTGTGCCGCATACTAAAAAAAACTGGTTTAAATATTTTTTAAAATCATTTACAAATTAATCATTAAAATAGTACATCGTTCTTTTTAAAAATAGATTAACCAGCGATAGTAATTTCTTTCCGTTTATACAAAATTTAGCAAACGCTCAGCGATTGGATAAATAGGATAAGCTTTTCTCCAAGAGTCCCTCCACCAATTGTAGCAGTTGCACAGGTAAATAATGTTTATCAACTTCATCAAAAATAGTAACAGTAATAATATATGTTTTAGGAAGTTTAGGTGTAGGAACATGTTCTAAAGTAATAGTAAATGGTTCTCTTACATATGACAGTAAAATTCTGAACAAAGGGGTCATTTATGGGATTCTTGCCCGTATCATTATATGCAATTGCAACATTGGTGAATCCTGTGACTATTTATATACCGGAAACAGTGTAAGTCACTGGTTTTTCAGAAACAGGAAGGTCAGGTTCGAGTTTTACAAAGATTGTTTCACCACGACATCTTTCAAATTGAGTTTCTCTTTTACGAAGTTGGCATAGATCATGGAAAATTTAGCTAATATTTCGGTTTATCTTGAAAATATTTAGCTGGAATTGTGAATATTATTAAATATTTCATTATAATGTAACTTGGTATTTTTATAAAGAAAAAAAAACAGTCATAGAATATCGTATTTCCGCCTTTTTGAAAAATTCAATTTTTTTAAAAAAATGATGATTATAATGCAAAACAACACGTGTAAATTTTTCGGGATTCCCATTATTAGAGCCAGCGCACAAAAAGTTTTTGGGACTGAGACGTTATTAAATTTATTATTAAAGTAAAATAAATATGCGTTAAAAGATATATGAATTAATTTCCGATATTTGTAAAAAAATTCACCGGAAATCTGCTGCGCCATGTCCGAAAAATTACCGGATTTAAAAAATTTTTAAATCAACAATCATGCGCAGTTGCACGTGATTTATCTGTTCACAAACTTTTCACGTGACTTTAAGTATTTCGACTATAAGAAACCATTAACTTAATATATTTCTAAGGATTGTGTTTAGAAACTCTCCTGTCCTTTGACTTCTGAACGTAACTTGTAATTCATGATTTTAGATCCCTTTTTTCTGAATTAAATTACCTAGTTGTGATTAAATAAACATATTAATCAAAGCATATCATTCTGTGATGCATGGAATTAAATTGTAAAAATGGCATCAATATTTTCAATTCGATCACAATTTATATATGATAAAATAATAAACTGGTTTCCAGGTCATATGGCAAAAGGTTTAAGAGTTATGTCTGAAAGATTATCAAACGTGGATTTAATTGTTGAAGCAAGAGATGCTAGAATATCCTTTTCTATAAAAAAAATTACTTCTTAAACTTTTTATTAATGATAATTTCTTAACTTCACGTGCATATGCATTTACACATTCCATTATCTTCTATAAATCATAAATTTGAACAAATTGCTGGCAGAAAAGATAGAATTATTGTTTATAATAAAGCTGATTTAGCTGATGATAGTGTACAACAAGTAAATTAAAAAAATATATATATTTTTGTAGGAATTTGTTTGCTTTGTTGCATTGCTGATTGATTCTCTTCCTTGATTTTTTTTAATTTTTAGCCAATAATTGATGCATTTAAACAATATCGTAATCAGCATGTTATATTTACAAATGCGAATATGGATAAAAATGTAAAAAAAATAATTGACTTTGCAGCAGGTAAAAAAAAACCTATTTTATATTCAATGTTAGAAAGAATTCTAAATTATGTAACTTTCATTTAAAGATAAACATAAACAGGATCCATCAAGATATCCTTTTATTTCAGTTATGGTCGTTGGTATGCCAAATGTTGGAAAATCTTCTTTAATCAACTCAATGAGAAGAATTGGTGTACGTAAAGGTAAAAACACTATTGTAAGTTAGTTTTTAAATAGAATTGTTTTTAATACATTATTCTTAGGAAAAGCTGCAAAAACTGGTGCTTTGCCAGGAGTAACTCGATCCGTTGCTGTTACTTCTATCAAAGTATTAGAAGATCCTCCGGTTTATTTGGTTGATACCCCTGGTAATATCATATTTTTAAAATAATTAGTAAAATATTGAACTGAGAAACAAACTATTCTATATAGGTGTTATGATACCACACCTTCCGGATCCTGAAAGTTCTTTAAAGGTTGCATTAACAGGTAAACTATATAAACTTTAAAATACCAAAACGTTTACATATAATGTTATATTTTCACTTCTATATAGGAGGTATAAGAGATCATTTATCAGATGAAGTAGTAATGGCAGACTATTTACTGTGGCGTTTAAATAACTTTGGAAATTTTGGGTAATAATATATTAAACTACTATTTCTTTAAGATAAATTTTATTCTAAATTTATTTCTATTTAAGCTATGTAGAAAATTTTAAATTATCCGGACCAACGGATGATATAAATTTTTTACTTCCAGTAATATCAAAACGTATCGGTGCATTACAAAAATATGGTGAATATGATTTAAAAACTGCAGCAATATTTTTTATTAAACAATATAGAAATGGTAAATATGGTAAATATACCTTAGATGACATAACTGTTGATTCGTTAAATAATTATTTTGTTAATGAAAATAATCCTGATAAACAAGTTTTATTGAGTAAAAATCAAGAAAAAAAATTACTATGGAATAAAAAAAGAGAGAAAAGGTTAGAAAGATGGAAAAGGCAAGGTTATTAATTACAGTAATAATAAAGAAATAGGTTTATAAATGAAAACTTAACCTTGATTTAAATTGTAATTGAATAACTTGTAGTTTAATTTTAAACCCATTTCTTTCATAATTATTTTTTAAATTACACTAAATAGGACTTTATCAAATTATATAATTCTTATATTGCAAAAAAAGAAATTTTCAAAATTATCAAATTAATTTTCAATTAAATATATTGTATATATTACAATAAATTATAAGAAAAAATATTTATTATTACAAATAAAAGTTTTTTAATTAAATAAATAAAAATAACATATAAGTATAAAAAAACTAATAATATATATGCAAATAGTTGGAATTTCTTTAATGAAAAAAACTTTAAATATTTAAAATATTTAAAATATTTAAATAAAAAGTTAAATCCAAATTACAAACAGCATATATATAATTTTATAAAATTAGTAAAAAAAATTATAGAATTGCAATTATTTAATAACATATTTTATTATTTGAATTTAATAAAAAATTACAATAATTACAATAAAAAATTGAAGTATTATTATAAAATAAATTAAAATAGTATTACAAATTAATAGAAGTATTAAAAAATAATGAAATAATAATTAATAATTAAGTATATTATATTTAATATCATTTTACTTATTTAATAAATATTTTATTTGTATTATAAAAAATGAAGAAGTAATTAAAATTTATATTAATATTATTAGATATTTTTGGATTTCTTGTAATTTTTTTTTCATTTTTCTTTTGTTTGAAAATAACTAAATTACTTATAAATAATTACTTGGCTTTAAATTGAAAGTCTTCTGTCACTTTATATTAAGTACTTTACTATTGGACCAAATAATTAAGAGATATGTAATTAAATTTATAAAGACTCTTAAAAATCTAAATACAATTAATCTTTATTTAAAAATATATTTTTATATTAAAATTAAAATATACTATAAATATATTTTTATTTATATTACATGTTTTTACAAGAAGTTAAATCAGATGGTATTCCTTGTTCATTAAGTTCCATGCCCGGTGCCAATTCATTTAGAATTTCTGGTGGTGGTTGCCCAAATTCTTGCAACTAAATTTGAATTTGTTAATATAGTCAATAAGTAAATTCCTTAAATATTACATTTAAAGTAATTACCTCTTGCATTAAATTTATAATGGCTTTATTTTGTTGCTCATTGTTTCCGTCGAAATCTGGCGCGTCATATTTCTCGATGATTTTATTAATATATTCCGATTGTTTTTCGTAGCGCGCGTAATCCTCCGGCGGTACCTTGCCTTTGTTATCCTCGAGCCATTTTGGGTACTTAACAAAATCAATACCGCCATGACAATAGTAAAAGGATGCAGCGAAGACATCTTAGGTTGTTAATTTCAAAATAAAAATAACAAATATATAAAACAAGACAAATAACTAATGCTTCAAATAGTTGAATAAATCATTTCTTACCTTTTGTGCGAATTCTTTCATTGGTTCATATAAGTAATCTTTCGTCGCTAATGCTTCCATCATAGATTCTAACATTTTCTCCATTCCTCCACTACCAAACATTTCTTCAAAATCATTCTCTGCAAACCCAGACAAATTAGCCATGTTTTCTATCTGTTTCATCATTTCCATTATTTGGTCATTCGATCCGTCTATAATTTCAGCCTTTCATATATAAGATAGAAATGTATAATTAGAATGATTTAAAGATAAAAATAAAATATGGTTCATTAACAATATTCGTACATCAAGTTGTTCCGAACTATTTTGTAATTTATTCATTGTTTGATTGATTTTATCCTGGAACGAGGTTCCATTGGATTCTACGGTGGATCTTCCGGTATTATCAAAATCAGTTCCATTTAAATTATCCTCATCCACTTCCCCAAAATTTTTCATTAATCCTTGCATTGCTATGCTTAATTCATTTTCATCAAATTCTTTGACAAAATCTTCCATATCAGCAGTAAGTAGTTTTACATATTCATCGTCCAGTTGTGAAGGTAGATCAGCCTGGTCTCTGCTTTTATCAGGTGATATATTCAAAGAAGGAAACGTGGTTGTAGAGGAGCCCGATGGGGGTAATTTCGTAGACTGTGAGGAAGAATAGTCGTCCAGTGCCTCTGATAAAATAGTCTCAAAAAATTAACTTAGAAGCCGAAATGGAGTTCTGCTTGTATTTCAACATAAAGACTAACCATCAAGGAGTTCGTCCAAATCGTCTGTTTCGTCTGCTTCATCAACAGTAACTCTCTTATCTTCAGAAGCCATAACGTTTAGTTTTTTCACGCAAAGTCTGATAGAAGCCTAATTGATTTTTGTATCATATTCATGTGATTTTATAAAACGTGCTTGCATGCATGTACTATTTTGATTCCACAATGATGATCCCACACGGCCTTTTTGCAATAAATAAACCAAGAGGACTATCTTCGGTTACCATATTAAATAAGATTAAAAAGCTTCAAACGAAAAACAAATTAAAATTAGGCCACGGTGGAACTTTAGACCCTTTAGCAAGTGGAGTACTAGTAATTGGTGTAAATGACGGGTGTAAAAGACTGCAAGAATATATTAATTGCAATAAGGTTTTTGATTTCGCTTCTTGATAATCAACTTACTTTGGTTCTATTTTCATATATATACATGTATATATATATTTTAAGACATACGAAGCAATTGGAATACTTGGACTCGCTACGGATACCTATGATTCTGAAGGTAAAATCATAGCTACTGGGCCAACAAAACATATTACTAAAGAATATATTTCGCAAATAATTTCTAAATTTACGGGAGATATCATGCAAGTTCCACCACTGTAAGCCTTGTAAACCTTATATGGATTTGGAAATACTCTTTTATGAAGAATTCAATTGACTTATTATTCTAAACAAAGGTATTCTGCTCTAAGAATGGAAGGTCGACGTCTCTACGAATATGCGCGCGAGGGACTGTCTCTTCCAAAAGATTTACAACCTCGATCTGTTAGAATCAATTCTTTATCCTTGTTAAATTTTATGACAAATGGTACAGTTCAAGTTCCGAAAATTGAAAATTATACTACAAATATGAATTATTGTAAAAATATTAAACAAGCGAAAAATTTACAAGAGGCCGTTTCTGCAGCGTCTTACCCGACTTTCAAAATTCGTGTGGAATGTGGAAGGGGAACTTATATTAGGTCATTAGTTCATGACATAGGGAAAGAGCTTGGAAGCGCTGCATATGTTGTCGAATTGATAAGAATTCAGCAGGGAAATTTTATATTAAAGGAGAACACTCTCGAATGGGATGAATGTTCGAATTTAAATAATATCTTTGAAGCTTTAAATAAAAATTAGTACTAACAAAATGTAGATTCAAAGTATGAAAATAAAAATTTTAATGTGACTTATTCACTTTAGACATTTTTATTTATTTAAGAGCGTTATTAAATTTTGTGGTAGTGTGGATTAATTTTTCTTTACATACAATCTATTCTCAGGATTCATATATATATGTATATATATTACTTATTACAGATCTTAGCCAACAAACTATCTATTTAAAATGCTGTGAACAGTGGTAGAGTTTTTTAAAAAAACTAAAATTCTCTGAACTAGGATCCATTCAATCAAATCTATGATATTATTATTAGTTAACTAAATTATTATAAGCCTAATACTTAAAGAAATATTTTTTTGCCAAAGTCCATGTTCCTGCAGTAGCCGCACAAATTACTGAAGCAGTACCTGCTGCCCTTAAACCAGCTAATAATTAAATAAAATTATACGTAAATTATATTAATTCGAAGAATTATATCATACTAAGGATTGGACTTATTTTCAGATTAAAGTTGATTTATTATAGAAAAATTCAAAGCAATATATTCAAGATTTTGTAGAGAAATAAATACCTGTAGATTTAAAGAGCAATCCTATTAATGCTCCAGATGCAATACTATTTACTGAATCATGTTTTCCTCTTATACTACCAATAGTACCATTGATGGTATTGTACCCCATGGCTATTAATAGTAATCGAAATTGAATAAAGAATAAATTACATTAAATATTTTCAATTAGTTAATTCGACTTACCAAGAATTCCGCAAGAATTTCCAATAAATGGTCCTCGTCGAGTAACAGAATTAAGGATTGTGTTTAAACGCAATTTAAAATTGGGTGAATGTCCATGAAGACCTTCCATTAAACCCCATACTCCACCAAAAGTTAAACCTGGACAAAGACAATTATGTGGTTTACAAATTAAGGAGAGCATAAAAAAAGCTAGAGAATTTAAACCATACCGGCCAAATATGTCGTTCCTGTACCATAACATAGGTCATCAAATCCCCCTCGACTAGGGAGGGCTCCTGGTGTGACTACTTGTTCATCAAGTCTCAAATAATCAACAGCACCAAGACCAGCAATTTCTCTTAGTTGACCTGGTCCTAAATTCACTCTTGCTAAGAAATCCGATACTGCCACTGGATCTGTGCCGAATTGATTTGGTGAAGATTGGTAATCATAAGTGTTTGATGAAAAGGAAGACATTGTGTGTCAATTTTTTTTTGCTTATTCAACATCTATAAAAATTTTCTAGTCATATGACTGCCTGGCAGTTCATTGATTATCTATGAATAATAAATTCCGCAGTTCCGTGATTTGATTTATTGTTATACAAGCACCGCCTGCGTAGCACACTAATGCACTAATGCCATATACGATTTTTTATATATATTTAATTATTTTATCTGTCCATCCCGCTCAGCCAGAGTTGTAATTTTTTTTTCTACATTACATATATGGAATTATAATATAAGAAACACTTATTATACGCTAGTGAGTACGTCACTTAGATACATATAAAGAAAACATATAAAATTACTAAGCCGCTAAAAAAGTCTCTGCTGCTACTTGTAATGATTAAAAGAGGGGCGGTGAGCCCGGGACTTTTGTTTCTTTATATACATATTATATTATTATGGAACCAAATGCTTCAAACCCTTCAATGGGGAAGGAAACTCATGTTGTTGATGATGGTTCTCTTAATGTAAGTTTATTTCAAAAACCTTTACACCTTGATTGAAACAAAGTTTTTCAAGATATCACTTTGTTATATTAAACTTTATAATAAAAAGAGAAGTAAGCAAGTTTATTTCTCTCACAAAAGGTTAAGTGTGTGTAGTAAAGGGTTTTTTTTTTCGTTGAAACAACTATTTACTGCGGAAGGTTAATATCTTACGTACAATATCACGTGATTTCAACAAAACCTGATTTATTAATTCTTTTGTTTGAACCACTTTTATTTTTATTTAATTTAGTTGAAAATAAAGGAACTTCGAATAAAGGCGGAAGAAGCTAAACAGCAAGAGTTGAAGTAATTTTCGCGTTTTTTTATGAGTTTTTAGTTACATATATGATTTGACGCGAGTTCATAACATATTTGTTTTTCAAATAGTGAGTTACGTGATAAACACGAGTCTGCATTGAGACAATTGTTTTATTTGCTAAGTAAACCGGATAGTACAGAAACATACACAGAATTAATCGAAGATATCTCGAAAGTCGATCAGATTCTATTAAAGAATTATTTACAAAGTAATAAATTAGAAAAAAATTGGGAGGTTGATAAAAGGTTGGTTCATTTGTGTTACATGTATTTAGGCCGTGGGAAAATATAATTTTTTTTGGTGGCTTCGATTAATTGTAATTGTTTTGTGAAACAATATGAACGTAAAATTTTTAAGATAATCAAAATTATTTCAATTAGTATATTTTCAATTTCTCACATAATTTCTTTAATAACATTTTTTTATTAGTTCGACAAAACCTGATAACATAACAACTCAAAGTATCACAACTTTAAGTATTGCTGAACAATCTCAAACTTCACAACAAATAAATATTCAGTTTCCTATACAAAGTGACCAAACTATACAAACAAAGAAAAAGAGAGTCTCAATACCAACAGAAAGAATGGTAACTAGAGCTGTAAGCGGTGCAATAAACCCAAAGACCGTGGATGAAATATTAAAGGAAGCGGAGGTATGCATAAAACTCCTTCCAAATTTTTTTACAAAGTTTCTATTTAATGTATCACTACCACCACCACTTTATATTTTTATAAAATACGGCAGCGTGGAAGCGGTCTTTCATCATCCTTGACTTCTCCTACTTCAGCCACAACACCTAGGATACCAGTAAGATTAAATATACCGCAAAGGAAGCAATCACTACAAAGAACAAATAATATTTTACTCTCAGAAGGAAGACATCTTTCATCATCTTCTACGGGAAGAATTGATACGAATCTATCTCGATCTTTTGATAGGGAGACGATTATAATAAATTTCAACAATAATCCAGTATATAAATCGCTACAGCCCCCAAAGAAAGCTATTACAACTTCGGAATGGAGGGTATTTATATCGAGTAGAATCTTTATATATTTATCTATGTACATTATAACTAATTTTTTTTAAAAATAAGGTCGCAATTGAAGAAGTTAAATATGCTCGAGTAATTGAACGCATCGAGGAATTAAAACGACAAGGATTTTGGAGTCGTAAACAAATCGAGCCATTCAGAGATCCTCCGAGATACAAGACACACTGGGATTATTTACTTGAAGAGATGGTATGTAATGTTTTGAGGTAAATTATCGCAGTTTTCAGAAATGTGCGACCTCTTAAATAGATCTGCAATAAAAATTAGCAATTAATCACATGATTTTTACAGGCTATTTTTGGGAGTTCGTACATCTCTGACAATTATAGATAAATTTTATTATTTTAAGAGAAGTCATATGATATCGTGATTAATTAATATATTATCTAATTTAGATTTGGATGCGGACTGATTTCAGGGAGGAAAGAAAACAGAAAATAAAAGCTGCGTATATATTAGCATTAGCGGTTCAAGATTGGCATATGACCGAAGACAAATCAATCGTATGCGTGAAGGTAACTACTTAAATAGTAATATTCGTTTAAATATATTTATATTTGATCTTGATCTTGATTTTAATTTAGAGACGAATACCTGAAAAACGTCCGTTATTTTCATCTCCAACTTATACTCATGATGAAAATAATAAATCAGATTCTACTACAATGGGTATGCAATAAGTTTGCTTATTGATTTTCGTACATTCAGTTTTTTTTGCTTATTTAGTTTAATATAAATAATATTAGATAATGATGAAATGAAAGGCAAGACAGAAGAATATAATACAAATGGGCATTTATCACAGGATAACAAATGGACATTACATACAGATGATGTAATGATAGATGTAGAGTCTGTTGATGATGATTCATCACGAATTGATATCAATCAAGAAAATATAAAGGACAATGATTCAATAAAGATGCCACCCCCAATAGCACCTCATGTTTTACAAAGTTTACGGCAAAAAGTTTTTAATTTACCGGAAGATGCACTTATATGTCGACTAGAAGGATCTGATCAACAAGTGTATGAAGTGGATTCAATATTTCCGGATTTACCTGTGTATAAACCACCTGAACCTTCAGAAAATGATATCTATTTCGATGAAATTCATTGTTATAAAATTATGCCAATATCAAAATGCTTGTGGCGAAAACCTCCGAAAGGTAAACGTAGTTAATAAATAATGTTATGTTTAAATAGAATTTTTTTTTTTTTTTAAGATAACTCTCTTGTTATAGAAAATCCCAATAAGAGACGCTATGAGAGTGAAGATCAACCACGTACCAAGAAAATTAAATTAGAAAGTGAAGAAGAATCAAATGAAAATCAATACGAGGAATCGACTCGTGAGATCAATAATATTTTTATAACTTTAAATTTTCAATCAAAATCAATAATTCTCATTATTTTCTTACAATAATAGTGTTTACATCTCATGCAACTTCCGAACAACAAATTCAAATTCGCGTAACTGCACCTAAAAAAGACCAAGATTCAACCGCGATCTGGTATCCTGAAGATGATGAATTGTTGATGTCTTTAACAAAAAAATACCAGTATAATTGGGATTTGATAGCTGACGCGTGGAATTCGTCGAGAGGTTTGATTACTGGTTACGAAAGATCTCCCTGGGAATGTTATGTGCGATGGACTCAAAAAGACGATATGTCCCAATTTATTATAAACCATTATAATGAAAATGTGAATGATGCTTCAACGGTTGAGATATTAACGGATAATGCTAACGATGCAGCAGCTTTATCGTTAAATATGAGACCTAAACGAGAGATGCCGAAAAATATTCAAAAGCGTGACATTACCAAACCTCGTAGAAACTCTAGTTTAGCTGAAGCCATGAAAAAGGCAGCAAAGAAACGAGCTGATTCAAATCAAAAACAATGTGTGTATACAACGTGTTTTATTGTTTATTATTATGTATTCTCACATAAATTTCGTTCAAATTTGATGTTTTGAATATAGTGCAAAACAGGAGAAGCCACGATCAGCCAACTCCCATTATGCATCATGTAATGACACCAATTGAACTTAGTAAAATGAAATCCGATCAGGAGCGTCAACTTCAAACAGCCCTATTAGAACAACGTCAAGCCGCAGTCCTGGCTTTTCAAGGCCATAGGGTAAATTTTTTTTTTTTTTTTTTGGATTTTATCATTTATCGTCCGATATTTAGAAATTTTATTGTTTTAGCAACAGCCGATGGTCATGAGACCTCAGGCTAACCCAGCAATGACCTATATTGCCGCTCAGACGAGACCTCCAACAGGAATGGCTACAAACCAACAATTACAAGCTTTCGTACAACAACAACGTGCAGCAGCAGCGATCGCTGTTCAACATCGTCATCACCCACAACAGATAACTCAATCCATGGCTCATGCAGCACAACATGCTCAGTTTTATAATCCACATTTCAGAAATCAAGCACATGCGCAACGAAACCAAGCAATATTACAAGGAGCTCACGCGTCAGTCATACCAAATCCAATTGTCCAACAGCAAATTGTTCAACAACAAGCTGCTGTTAGACAACAAGCGCAAATACCTCAACAAGCTGCCCAACAAACACAAAATATTCAACAAACACAAGAAAATGTAGTACCACAATCTCAACAACAACCAAATTAAATTATCTTCAATGAGTGACAATTATATCTTACTAAACAAACTTATTTGATTCCATCATTTAAGCATACTTAAATTATCCATAATAATATATACTTTATTTTCTCTTTAGTATGATATTTACGATCATATGATGATAATTTTCTAGTATTAAACATATGTACATAATAAAATTTTAAAATATTTTAAATTTTGAATAAAAAGGGTTTGATTCAAATCTTTACGTGCAACTATATTCCATCCTTGCAAGTATGATAACTAATGTATACACTATCCTTAAATGGTAATTTCTGGCAATTTTGCCAAAAACTATTATTTTGTTCAAAAAATATTTCGCGATTTATTTATTAAATTTTATACATATTTATACTGATCTAAAATAATTCATTCATTAAATTTCTTTATAAATAAAATTTATTCTCGCATCTGCTACAACTTCATTTATTAGTATTTAAATTTAATTAAGTGTTAAAAATATATTGTAAAGTAAAACAAATAAAATATAATAACTTATTAAAAAAATATTTAATTTCACAAAAATAAATACAATAGTATTTAAGCTAGTTAATAAAAATTGATAGTATAAAAATAACTTTAAGATAAAAAACAGTTATTGCTACATATTATTTAATTACAGATAATATATACAAGTAAGGAAATTTTTTAGAGAATATCATATTATAAAGTAATAAAAAAGAAGAAATAAAAGCAGAAAAAAAAGCAATAAAAAAAAATATATATATATGTGTAATGATTTTTTTTTTTTTTTTTTTTTAGATACGAAGTCTACTATACTGTCTACCACAATTCTANTCATACAATACATGTAAAACTAACATAAATCCTAATTTAGTAAAAAACTACACCACCCGCTAACTTCAGCGAAGCAACCATGTGTGCACTGTTAGTAAAGGACTTAGGCTAGAGGAGTAAGTTCACCTTGAAGGTATCTTTTCTTAGAAGGATCCCTCCTCCCAGTTTACGCCCATGAGTGCCCCAAGAACTTACTGCTACTGCAGACGAAATCCATTTTGAACAAAATGAAATAAGAGGAGCAAAAACAATAAGTCAGGGTAAAAAAAAAAAAAAAAAATTTAAAAAAGGAAAACTAAAAAAAAAATTAGTATTCTACAGATACGAAGTCTACTATACTGTCTACCACAATTCTACATAGTCATCTAGGCCAAGCAGTCATCTCGTCAATTCTCAAGCCTTCTTAGTAGTGATCTAATTTCTGCTAACAATGTTAGTTTTCCAGATTCACCACCATCCAAACCTTTCTTCATATTCTTTAGAGTTGAGGATATGAATTTCTTTCTGATAGGTTTGTTCATCTTAATCTTATTATCTGTAGTATTTATTCCAACCTTGTTAGCCGAGTCTTGATTCTGCTTCTGATTTCAGCCACTTCTTGATGATCAATTACAACCTTTAGATAGTTGAGGCGAGAAGTACCTAGTCCAAACATTTTCATATTCTGGCAAGTTCAACTTGGTATTCATAATTTTATTCAAATCAGCCTAATTTTCATAATATGTAATGAGCTTATGAGTACTTTTCTTCTAAACCACCTTAAAAGCTTTGCATCCCAAATGGGATATAGGTGATTGGAAAGGGTCTGTAGGATATAGTATTGAAGTGGTGATAGTTTCAGGTAAATCTTTCATCACAGCCTGAAATCATTCTTTTTCCTTTCTTTATTGAAGATTCTAGTTAGCAGGATACCAACGGACAGAGAGACCTCCTAAAGGAGCAGTTCAGACTCCTTGATTCTATAGACTCATAGCCCACTCGTTGAAGTCAATAGAGACAGTGATCGTTAAATATTTCTTCTGACGTTTCATCTTGAAAGCGATCACGTGACCCAATTTCTCAAGATACTGAAGAAGTTCGAGTTGAGCCCAGGTGGAGGGGATATCATATAAAATAATTTCCCGAATATTGCCCTTAAGTACTGGATCATATCCAATCATTACTGATTGTATTTCTTTTGGAGGAGTGCGTTGTTGTTTCTTCTTAGTAGGCTGAGCCTTACTATTAGACGCTGATCACTTAGCCACGTTAACTTTTTGCCTACATCAGGAAATTTTATAGCGCAAAAAATTGTGTAAGTTTATGATTTTGTAAGTTTACGAAAGTTTATGGCATAATATTTCAAAAAATTTCAAAATATTACGTAAGTTTACAATTTCATAAGATTTATGTGATATTACGGTTAAAATATTACATAAGTTTTCAATATCGTAAGATTTATGCAATATTAAGGTCAAAATATTCTGCAAATTTACAAACCTGTAAACCTGCGTAATATTACAGTTGAAATATTTCAAAAATTTACGAAACTGTAAACCTGCGTAATATTACAATTAAAATATTTTGAAAATGTACGAGACTGTAAACCTGTGTAATATTACAGTTAAAATATTTCAAAAATTTACGAGACTGTAAACCTGCGTAATATTACAGTTAAAATATTTCAAAAATTTACGAGACTGTAAACCTGCGTAATATTATGGTTAAAATATTTCAAAAATTTACAAGACTGTAAACCTGCGTAATATTACAGTTAAAATATTTCAAAAATTTACGAAACTGTAAACCTGCATAATATTATGGTTAAAATATTTCAAAAATTTACGAGATTGTAAACCTGCGTAATATTACTATTCGATCGTTAAAGCTGCGTATGTAGTAGAACGTATACAAGGGGCATGTGATACTATTGAATAATTAAAAATAATATAAACACCTTTTCTTTTATATAAACACCTTTTTTTAAGTTTGGGAAAGCAAATTTATTTTTATTTATGAATTTTTTATTATTTACAATTTTTATATTAAAAATTAAAGTAAATTCTAATTTTTATTATAACTTAATAAAAAAATACACATTTGATACTTGTTCGTTACTATTTTATAAAATAGTACCCAGGCTGTATGGTATGAATGTCAGTATTAGTCACAGCCCAAAAAAATGCGAGTCTTCAGCCGATATTTGGTATAGATTGGACCCAACTACTCACTTAATAAATAATAAAAAAATAAAAATAATTATCTTTCACGATACGTAGGTAAGTTTCTCCTTGCCTTACGATCATCATGCGTGACTAAAATTGATCAAATTTATCAAATTTAAAACATGAATGTAAATATTAATTATAAATTTTATTATAGTATAATTACCCAACCTCCCAAAATCTTGTTCTAAATTCACGATAATATTTTTAGCCGGTACGCATCTACAGCTATCATCCAGGATTACCATTACGATAAAGGACATAGTTCTAAATATCAAAATCAGTTTGAATATTTGATAAATACATTTAATTTATATAAATGTAATTTTATTTATTTACTTACATGCATCAGAAATTTTATAGCGCAAAAAATTGCGTAAGTTTACAATTTCGTAAGATTTATGTAATATTATGGTTAAAATATTACACAAGTTTTAGATTTATGCAATATTATGGTCAAAATATTTTGAAAATTTATGAAACTATAAACTTGTGTAATATTATGGTTAAAATATTTCAAAAATTTACGAAACTGTAAATTTGCGTAATATTACGGTTAAAATATTTCAAAAATTTACGAGACTGTAAACCTGCGTAATATTACGGTTAAAATATTTTGAAAATTTACAAGACTGTAAATCTGTGTAATATTACGGTTAAAATATTTGAAAATTTACGAGACTGTAAATTTGTGTAATATTACGGTTAAAATATTTTGAAAATTTATAAGACTGTAAACCTGTGTAATATTACGGTTAAAATATTTTAAAAATTTACGAGACTGTAAACCTGTGTAATATTACGGTCAAAATATTTCAAAAATTTACAAGATTGTAAACCTGCGTAATATTACTATTCAATCATTAAAGCTGCCACTAAGGTTGCTTGCTGAAACCTTCTTAATAACTGCTGAAACCTATACAGAAAATGCCGAAACTATATTAAATCATATTAAAAATCCTGCCGAAACTTTACCAAAATGCCAAAACTCCTATTTGCCGAAACTGCCGAAACCCTGCCAAAACTATAGTAAACATATAGTAAAATCTTGCCAAAATTTATCGCAGAATTTTGGAGAGGTTTTGGCAAGCAACCTTAGCTGCCACACGTCAAATGATCAAAAATAGGCAAAAAAATGGCACAAATCGCATAAACTATTCACAAATTTGTATAAACTATTTACAAATAGTATAGGTTAATTCGTAAATAGCCAAAAACAGCCAAGAATAGCTAAAAATAGCCAAGAATAGCCACTGCTTTTCGCGCCATTTTTTTTGCCGATTTTTAGCATTTCGACCTGTGTGCGTATGCAGTAGAACGTATACAAGGGGCATGTGATACTATTGAATAATCAAAAATAATATAAACACCTTTTCTTTTATATAAACACCTTTTTTTTAAGTTTGGAAAAGCAAATTTATTTTTATTTACAAATTTTTTTATTTACAATTTTTATGTTAAAAATTAAAGTAAATTCTATTTTTTATTATAACTTAATAAAAAAATACACATTTGATACTTATTCGCTACTATTTTATAAAATAGTACCCAGGCTGTACAGCGTGAACGTCAGTATCAGTCACAGCCCAAAAAAAATGTGAGTTTCCAGCTGATATTCAGTACGGACTGGGTCTAGCTACTCACTTAATAAATAATAAAAAAATAAAATAATTATCTTTTTCTACGATACGTAAGTAAATTTCTTCTTGTTTTATAATCATCACGCGTGACTAATGTTGCTTGCCGAAACTAGGGAGTTTTGGCATGCCAAAACTGCTGAAACTGCCGAAACTAGGTTTCGGCAAGCAACTGAAAATGCCGAAATGCCAAAACTGCCAAAACTGTTTCAGCATTTTGGCGCAGTATATCATATGATATACATATAGTTTTGGCATTTCTTAATTCAGTTAAACTCTGATCAGTTTTTTAACTGATCATTGATAATCTAAAACGGTTTTTTAAACCGTTATATATCATTATTTTTTTTTAAAAAAAAACTTTTTTAACGTTAAAAAGATAATTTAACGTTGAATTTTATGATTGCCCGCCCACCCTTTATTTTAACGTTAGTATATTTTACTAACGTTAATTTTTTTTAATTTTTTTCTTGAATTGTATTAAAGAAACGTACAAACGTTTCTATTTTCTTGTTTTTTAGGA